CCACAGCGTGAAGAAAACCATAAATAACATCTCTATATCATAGGACCGTGCTCAAAGAGGTTACAACCAAATCCGCGTCAGATAAATAGTAAAGCCTCGTATGCACAAACGTAGCCCCTACTCTTCACATCCCAGCGACGGAGAGGGCGTGACATATGGCATGATACGTTGTTCGTGAGATCTTTCCAATTGATGCAAGCGTAATCTAGACTTGTTCTGGACAAAGTCATTATTTCAACTGTTCTGAGACTGCTATAACACTCCAAAAATGCAGCCGCCGCAGTACGCAATTACGGACCCCCATCTCTGGGATATGAAGTGTAATTCAGATCGAGACGCATTACCCAGCTGCAAAACATCGTGGCAGATTTTGCAGCGGCATAAATGATGTAATCTAGTTTACTAAATAGCTCGAAAATTATTGTACTAAGGCAAAACTGAATATTTTTTTGGAAATGGCTTCCCGAATCTACAGGACATTTTTTGTAGGGCATTTTGCCATAGAATCGATGGCGTTTGAAGAAGGTGATCCAACATTGGGCTTCACGTTGTTGAAGCAAGCCACGCAGCAAGACCAGCCGAGCGGTTCTGACATTTCCCATCCCATATTTCGAAACTAGGGGTGGTAGCTTGCTAATTGTTTAATGTCAAAGAAGCTGCCACGATTACCCCAAATGCAGAAGCCCTTGCGCAAAAAAGGGGACAGTCGCAGAGAATGTCCAACCTTCGCGACTCGAAGCTGCTTCATAAGAGCGCCACGCCATAGCGACAACAAGCTAGCTCCGCCCTCTGAGCTGGGCCCGGCTCTGTGATTTCGCTTTACTCTCGCTTCTTAACTGGGGCATTTGAGACGGTTTGATTTGTTTCTTTCTCCGCTTATACTCCTACAACTACATTATCTAATGCCCTATAACTCCTACCAACAACCTGCAAATGGCAATCGCATGGATCGCCTTTGGGAAAACTGTTCGCCGTTAAATTAAATGCATGAGGTGTACTGCGCCAAATACCTCTGTCGACGTCTCAGGGCTTTTGTCAACCGCGGCAATGGGTGACTCAGCAATTTGTCGCGTCGTCGGTCGTCTCGCACACTCTCGTCGACGCTGCGTCTCCGCTTAGAAAGGCTAGAGCGTAGACAGAAAGGCATCCACCGATCCCGATTGCCGACGATCACCAGTTCACGTGATTGTTGCGTGCTTTGCTCGTGTTTGGTCACTCTCCGATGCTAATGATTCGTTAAAAAAATAGGAAATCAAGAAGATCTTAACTATAAGAAGGAACTCAGTCCTTCTCGCTTCTTACTTCAAGTATTATTCTTGAAGTGGAATTGGTGTTTGTTGGAAAACTACATGGATGTTGCAAGTAAGGACTGTCGAGACACTTGCAGCATGTAGATGATTTATCAGGCTATCTTTTCCGATCCCGGAAAGCACAGCACTTTCGGGCGAGGAGTGCGAGATTACACGGTCTGTAGGAGTCAGTTGTTATCCTTTCTATAGCACCTTCTATAGCACTCCCATTTCATTCAGGTTTGCAGAGACAATGGAGTGCATACTAGCCACTATACGAATGATCTGCTCCTGACTAATGCTTAGTCTATAAAATTGTGCGATCTCAGAAGCACATGGTCAAGGACTACTACCTATTCACTTTGCGTAGTCGCGTGACTAGCGCATATCCTGTTATTGAAAGCGTCACCACTTTCCCTTTTTTTGTTCTTTTTTTTTTTTTTCTTATTTTTTTGTTTTTTTTTTCTTTTTCGTCTGAATCCTGTTGACCTTGAAATTCACCCTCCAGTCGCCACTGACACAAAATAAGGGACAATAGTGAATCCTCAAGGTGTTCTCATTCATCTTAACCTCTCGTGGCTGAAATCACTTCACGTGTCTTCTCCTTACGAGAGATGGCTTTGCAGGAGAGGAGAGACGACGAGCGTACACGCCCATCTCCCGGCGACGGCCGACACACGTCATAACTGCCTCGTCGTCTAATTCTCATAGCTAGAGAAATTTCGGTTGACATCTGCCCCGTAACCCACTTTGTTTTGAATGATGCCCATTTGAATTATGTTCTTTCTACTCCATACCTTTTTTTCAATTTCCTTTCTTCCAAATTTATTTATATTCAATAAAAAAAGAGCCCACATGAATTTCCGTGACACAAGACCAGGCAAGTCTTTCATAGCAATAATGTCGTGCTCGGGTCGAACAATTGTGCTCCAATCCAACAAAGTTCCATCCAATTTTCGTATTTGATAGAGTCATTGCGTTTTTTTCCGATTGCGTTTCATCTTTTTCTTTGGCCTTTGAACTCAATCTGTTACGGATTTATTGGCAGAAATTGATTTCAGTGCCTAGATGTTATGGCAGTGACGTTACACACCACAGCAGGGGATATCAAGCTCGAATTGTTTTGTCAGGAGTGTCCTAAGGCTTGTGAGGTATGTTTTGCGTAGTATTGTTTTTTTACATTCTTGGATTTTTGCAAAGTTACAATCGCCACTCATTTTAGAACTTCCTCGCATTGTGTGCTAGCGACTACTACAAAGACAACATCTTTCATAGGTATTTTTGCTGATAAGTTCAGATTCTCTTTGGAGTTGGCGCTATTCCATTGACGTGGGGAAGATTCTGGCGCAGCCTAACTCAACTATGGTAGAGCCTAGTACTTGAGACGGTACCAAGGACTTTTGTCCCTCATTTTTGGGCTCCGTTGCCCAAAAATGGCCCAAAAGACGAGGGCAACATTCGTTGTGCCTGGCTTTTAATTGCTTTCAGCTTTATCAACTATTACACCAAATGCCCACCTTACTGAATAGCGCTGACTTCGGATTTTCTCAGATGTTCTGAACGCTTTGTTTAAGGAATATCAAGGATTTTATGGTCCAGACCGGCGACCCAACAGGAACGGGAAAAGGAGGGAACAGTATCTGGGGAGGACCTTTCGAGGACGAGCTCTCAGTAGAGCTTAGGGTAAGCGCTGGGATAGGAAAAGTTTAGCAATTTGACGCTTTAACCAATATTTAGCACGACGGTCGTGGTACGCTGTCTATGGCAAATAACGGGCCGAACACGAACAAATGCAAAACAGCCTCATCTTGACCTCAAGTACACGGTTTTTGGAAAGTAAGCTAATTTTTAATTATTTTTTTGGCAATATTCCAAGAAGAGAGGGGGGGGTTGGGTGCAGAAACCTACAGCATTTTACCCACAGATCGTAATTTTTATTTTATTGTAGACGTTCAGTAGAAGTAATGCCCACCCAGTTTTCAATTGGATCTAATCTCATTTTTCCTGCGTTTAGGCGCAACGCCTCGCCTCCTGGCTCAAAATTCATTTCATCGCAATTTCCAATATTAAATTTGATCCACATTTTTAAAA